AAATGATCCCGTAACAGCATCAGCTCTAGTAAGTCTTGAGAATTCAGGTAAGAGTGTTCCGAACTGTAATTTTTGTGAAAAGAAACATTTTAGTGAAAAATGTTACTCTGCAAAAAAAAATGACTTTAGCTGAAAAACAACAATTGTTGTTGAAAAAAGGTGCTTGTTTTTCTTGTCTGAAAAGAGCGAGTCACATTAGTAAATTTTGTCCTTTCAAAGGTAAGTTAAGTTGTTCTATTTGCAAAAGTTGTAATCATTTTGATGTAATGTGTAATCAAAAGCTAAAAAATAATGATCAGATAAATGTTTCAAAAGAGAGTTCTCTTTCTAACTGTAGCAGAAGCGAAACTGTATTTTTGCAAACGCTTTGCGTTCGAATTCGGTGTCAAGGTCGCGAGAAAATTATTCGCTGCATAATTGATAGCGGAAGCCAAAGTAGCTACGTTAGTGAAAATATGATGAGTCAGCTTAAAGCATCTCCACTTCGGGAGGAGACAGTTATACATGCACTGTTTGGGGGGGACGAAACGAAACCTAAACAACATGAAGTGTTTTCGGTCGAGGTCAGCAATTTAAAAGGAACATTCGCATGTAGTTTTGAGGCATTATCGGAAAAAAAAGATTTGCGGTTTTATTCCTAAGGTTAAAGATAAAGAGATTTTGAATGAATTAAAAGAAAAAGAAATCGAATTTTCTGATCCATTGCGAAAGGAAATTGAAATTAACCTTTTAATCGGAGCAGATGTTATAGGAAAGTTATTGACGGGAAATTCTATTGAATTACAGTCCGGGGTAACGGCTGTCGAAACGAAACTTGGGTGGACGGTATTTGGCAAACGAAATTCGGGTGAAAAGGATAATATTTTGAAAACATTTTCAATGCATGTCAGGAGAATTCCTCTGAATGAGTTATGGGAACTTGAAAAAATAGGAATATGCGCTCCAAACGAAACTGTTAAAATGAATGAAAGTTTTAATTTATCTGAATTTGAGAACAAAATGAAAATTCTTCCAGATGGAAGATATGAAGTAGAACTTCCGTGGAAATGTGATACGACACATTTAACCGATAATAAAGAATTATCCTGGAAAAGGTATCAAAAGATGATCTATAAACTCAGATGTAGTAAATTTTTCGATGATTATCAAAATGTGTTCAAAGGAATGGGAAAGGTTGAATATTATTGAACGCGTACCAGAAAACGAATTGAATAATGAATGTCATTATTTGCCGCATAGGCCTGTAATCAAATTAGGAAGTGAAACCACGAAAATTCGTCCTGTTTTTGACGCTTCTGCATCTGAGAAAGGGAGACTCTCTTTGAACGAATGTTTGTGTAAAGGAATAAATCTTATTGAATTAATACCTGATATTATAGATCGTTTTAGAATGTATCCGATTGGTATTAGTGCCGATATTGAAAAGGCTTTTTTAATGTTATCCGTCGCATCTAAAGATAGAGATTTTTCTCAGATTTTTTTTTCCCATGCAATGAAGAGAAAATTAATTTATAGGCATTGCAGAGTTGTGTTTGGAGTTTCTTCGAGCCCCTACTTGTTGAACGCATCTATAATGCATCTATTAGAAAACTGTCCACGTCAATATAGTGAAGTTGCTCAAAAATTGAAATCGTCATTTTATGTGGATAATTGTTTATCTAGTGTTTTTAGTATTGATGAACAGTTTACGTTTATTGAACATTCCAAATTAATCATGTCAAATGGATGTTTTAACTTGCGCGGTTTTGAAAGCAATGTGGCTGGTACAAATGTTGACAAACATTCAGGGGATACTTCCGTTTTGGGGGTAATTTGGAATTTGGATAATGATACGCTGAGGTGCTGCACAGACACAGATACATTGACCTGTGATACAAAAATCACAAAGAGGACAATTTTGGCAATTGTGCAGACAATTTTTGATCCTATTGGTTTAATAACGCCAACTACATTGCTTCCAAAACTGTTGTTGCAAAAATTGTGGAAAGTGAAAATTGCATGGGATGATGAATTGTCTCCGAATGATGTAAATATATTTTTGAACTGGTTTAAAGAACTTAATGTTTTGAAAGATGTTACTTTGCCTCGATACTTGTTTATCAATGACACGACGTCTGAACTACATGTATTTGTGGATGCTTGCAAGGGGGCGTATGCAGCGTGCGTCTTTGTTCGATCAATATTTAATTCTGAAGTAAAAATAAATCTCGTACGGGCGAAGTCTAGAGTATCGCCTTTGAAATCTTTAAGCATTCCTCGCTTAGAATTAATGGCCTGTTGTATAGGTTCTAGACTTGCAAATTCTATTATCAAAGCTCTCAGTTTGCCCGATTTAAAAGTTACCTTCTGGTCTGATTCAACCACTGCCCTTTGGTGGATAACAGAGCAAGGAAATTGGTCCGTTTTCGTCGAAAATAGGGTTAAAGAGATTCGAGAGTTGACGCGAGGTCATTCATGGAGACATATCCCAGGGAAACTAAATATTGCCGACTTGTTGTCGCGCGGATGTTTTGCGAAGCAAATGCTTCGGTCTAGATGGTGGGAAGGCCCCTTGTGGTTACGAGAAAGCCCTGAAAACTGGCCCACTGGTGAGATTATTTATTTGCATGAAGAAGTAGAATTGGAGAGGAAAAAGATAAAAAAGAGTGAATATTGATCTATCAAAAGACGCACCCCCTTGGCATCGAATCAGTGTATCCAATTATGATAAAATGATTAGAGTATTTGCATGGATATTTAGATTTGTAAATAATTGTAAAGGTGGTTCTGAAAAGAATGGAAACATTGAACTTTCACAGTATGAAATTGAAAATTCTGAGAAAAATTTAATTCGTTTGGTTCAAAATTATTATCTGACTGATAAGAAATCTTATAATTTTATTGAAACGCTCATTGATGATGATGGTATTCTAAGAGTTAAAACGAGAATACTAAATAGAGATGACCATGAATCTTTTCTGTATCCAATACTGTTACCAGAAAAATGTGATTTTACTAAGTTATTAATCAGAAATGTGCATAATAAGAACTGTCATGCTGGTCTTCAGATGATGCAATGCATATTACGAGAAAGATTTTGGATAGTCAGAGCTAGAAAGGCCATTAAAAATGTCCTCTTTAACTGTATCGTTTGTAAAAGATTTAAAACTAAGGCCATGTCAAGCGAACCGACACCTCTGCCGCCAGACCGAGTTACGGATTGTGCGCCATTTGAAATCATAGGGATTGATTTGGCCGGACCGCTGTTTTTAAAAAATGGAGGAAAGGTGTGGATCGCGCTGTTCACCTGCGCTGTGTACCGTGCCATTCACCTTGAACTCGTAAATTCTCTTTCTACTGATGCGTTTCTCCTGGCGCTTCGACGATTTGTTGCTAGGCGCGGACGCCCTAGAATAATCTATAGTGATAACGGGACAAATTTTCGGGGTGCATCTAATGATTTATCAAAACTAAATTGGACTAAAGTAGTTAAAGGAAACGGGAACTGAAAGGATAATCTGGAAATTTATTCCACCTACTGCAGCTTGGTGGGGTGGCTGGTGGGAGAGGTTGGTTCGTACAGTAAAAGAATTGCTAAAACGTACTTTAGGTAAAACAGTGTTATCATATGAAGAACTTTATACTATTATTTGTGATTGTGAAACTATAATTAATTCTAGACCCTTAACTTATGTTTCTGAAGATCCGCAAGAATTAGTACCTCTCTGACACCCGCCATGTTTCTTATCGAGAACAGAAATTCCAATGTTGAAGATCTTGATGAATTAAATTCGTCAAGTCTTAATAAGAGATTAAAGTATAGAACTAAATTGTTAAATGATCTGAGACAACGATTTAGAAAAGAATACCTTAGTCAACTGGTTCAAAAGCATAATGAAAAGCGATCTCGGGAACCTGTAGTAGGAGAAATAGTACTGATGGGGGATGATAACAGAAAACGTTTATTTTGGCCTTTAGCCCGAATTACAGAATTGATCCCTGGACGTGATGGAAAGATTCGTACGGTTAAACTTAAGACCCGGCATGGAATAGTTATACGACCAATACAACGCATCTTTCCTCTGGAGATACAGTCCAATGATAGAAACATAATTCCTGATAAGAAACTGGGTGCAGAGGAATCTAATTCTAGTGCTGGGTGTACGTTAAAAAAGAGGTATTGCACCTGATAAAATGGTGATGCAACAATATTCCTCCTCTGGACGACTTGTAAAAGTTCCAAAAAGACTTGATCTTTTAAATAATGTTTGTTATGAGTTTGAGACTCAACCTGAGTCTCAAGGGGGGGAGGATGTTGTGAAATGAACTGAAGTAATAACCGGCGCGAGGCGCTGCTGTTTGTGACGTCAGCCTGCGTGCTGAGTTTTTCGAATGTTTTACGTGTGGTGTGGACGAACGAAAGCTGAGCTCGGAAGAGTGATACTGTTTTGATGGAAATAAAGAATGATTTATTAAGAATTTTTTTGTCTTTATTCATAATGCACCCAGCCTCGGGTAGAGGCAGGCCCGCAACTGAACGAACTGTTTTAAATATATTTGATTTATATATTTTCTGTGTTCTTCGTAACAGTTACCATGCGAAAGGATTTTGAGATGTTTTGAAGCCAGATAAATTTCAAAATATGGTTTGCCTTCTTTAAATACAATGATCCCTCTCGTGATGCACACAATCCTAAAACGACAGATGTTTTTTAAACCATAAATAAGCATCAATACTGAAAATTTTTTCCCAAAGATGAACGCATTATACAAATTTCCCTCTTTCTGCCTTGCAGTTACAGTTATTCTCTAACTAGCCTGTAAATGCATCTCATTCTTATTTCATTTATTAATTAATACTTCCAAAAATATATTTTATCCACAAATTTCATAAAATGTTTAAATATTTAAAATGCATATTTTTAAAATAAAAAAACTAATTTGATACATTGCGATAAAATTGCATTTTCCTTGTTCGCGTCGTCTGCTACAGGAACTGATAGAAGAAGACACAGACAGGAATGCCGTGTGACAAAATGGCAGCCAGTAGCGAAACTCAAATAAATTTGAAAACTTTACAACGAGTTGATTCTCGCATAGTAGAAATTATTGACAATGCGAGTCAAGTAGCTATATATAAATATGAAAGAAAACTGGAAAAATGGGTAATATATTCGTTTCTTATGTTAGGAAATGTTTCTTTAGGTTTGCGTTGTCGGTTGTCAAATTTGGATGCATTTGTACTTCGGTTCAAGTGTCTGATCAAACATTATCAGAGAATATTGACAAATATTCGTCAGTATGATGTATCTGAAATATTTCAGTGGAATAATCGCCCTTATGGATAATTTAGTTGCCGTTAAATATGAAATCGTTATGTCTGTGTTGTTATATTGAGTTTCATTTCTTTTTTAAAATGTATGCCGTGAAGACTTTGTATACTTTTAGTAGGACAAAAGAAAAAAAAAAAAAAAAAAAAAAAGACGCATTGATTTTCTTCAAAAATTGTTTAAAATTGGCTAAAATGTGAGGAAGGTGGGACTTTATTGATACAATATTTCTTCCGGAAAATTGTGTCTTGTGATGAACTATATCTAAATTTTTAATTTCTAACATAATGACAAAATTTTCATCATGTTAGTTATTAATGTTTTCTCTTTAGCTGCAAAAAATGTTACTAACGAAATAATTCGACATTTATATCTGAAATACTAATTTTGTAACGAAAATGAAGTAACATTTTTAACTACTTAGATGATTATTAAGATGTAAACCATTTTCTTCTTTTGGAACATCTTGATTCTTTCTCTTTTGTTAAATTGTAATTACATGGCAAAATATTCCTGTTAAATACATAAATAAATTTCAGTTCTTTGTGTTCCCAAATAATCACAAAAAAAAATGAAATTTGGATTAGTTTTGTGTATTATCAGCTACAGTAAAATATGTAAAGATATTATGTATTCGCTGAAGAGTGCTGAGTTCCTACTTTAATAAAATTGAAAGGAAATATTTATGTTAAATCTGTTTATTAAAGAAATGTGATTTATTTGAAACACAAATATTTTATGTTTTGAATATATTTTATAAATATTTTATATTTTTGAAAATTTACTTAACAAAATTTAAAAAATTGTATTATAATGATTGTAATGAATAAACTGAGCTATTTATTAAGAGGGAATGATTACTAAATTTTGCATGAATGTATTTCAGTAAAACCAAATTTTTCGTGCAGAATATTTGGATTTAAATTGCTTATTATTATTTTAAAAATATTGACTGAATTCAGTTTACCTTTAAAAAAAATACTTGTTTCTTGAATTTTAATTTTTTTTTTTTTTTCTTTTACTGCCTTAATCGCTTGTAGGTACTATTTCTTCTGTTTATGAATAATAATAATAATATATAAAGCATTTTATTAAACACAAAAAAATTTGTGAGAAGAAACAAAAATTTACTTTTTTACGATCAGTGGAACGAAAGTTAGCTATAAGGCACATAAATCTATAGATTGACTGTATCACATGGTATTGATTTTTATATTTTATTTTAGGAGTTATGCAGCAGAATTTGAGAGTTGCAGAGTTTGTGTCAAGTTGCAAAAAGTCATATGCTTAACCTGATTTTACTAAATGTTGAAATGGGAGAATAGGGTTGAATAATCAGGAAATAGTTTTTTTCATGTATATTTTATTTATTAAGTATGATTAACAATGTAATTTTCAGTCGGTATTTTTTCACATTTTTACAACATTGCATGCAAATATATATATATATATATATATATGTAAGATATAACAAAATGTGATGGCTGCTTTAAGAAATAATTGGGGTAAAAATACATTTATGGGTGCTCCTTGGTGGTTTTTGGTGGTACATGGACACCGAGTTTGTGCAATTCTTTGACTTGTTATTTTGGCTTTGTGTAGCAGCAGTTTTTTTGCCAAAAATCGCCAGTACAGAAATCCAAAATAAAAAATCAAAGAATTGCACAAACTAAGTATCCATGTACACATTGACCTATTTCCACTTAAAATAACATCAGGGAATTGCACAATTTAGGCATTCTGCACTCCTTTGACTTTGTCCATGTACACATTAATCTATATTCCCTTAAAAAGTCAAAGGAGCAGCCAGCAAAAAAATATATAATCTCGGTAAACTACTCTTTAAAACAAACATGAAAAAGGAAATTCATCTTAGCACTACATGAAAAGGAAATATCAACTGATCTTATTTACAAATTTCCATGTCTTCAGTCCAACAAAATTCCTTAGCAGCATCCAAAAACTTCTTAAAATTATCTGAACTAGAATCTGTACTGGCATTGCCACATAAATTCACAAAAAATAAAAGTAAAAAATATCCTCTGACGTTCGACCATACGCATTTCCTTTCTACAAACAGGACACTTATAATGCCTACTAAGTAAACCTTACACCAGTCAATTAATGCTTTTTTCCCTTTCATTTCAAGTCGTACAGAAATTTCAAATTAATCTTACCACATTCAGCCATTTTACTGTGTAAACCACAAAATAACCACTGTACATCTTATCCAAAATACGACACACAAATAAGCCTTTCCAAATCTTTTCCAATCAATCAAATTCACTGCAATCACGCAAACAATTACATCATAATAGGGTTTGCATAGCATTCAGCTACTCAGGTTACCATAAATGAAACAACAACTTATTGATAATCTAAGAGGCACCCTTAAATTTACTCTAACCAATAATTGGCAACCTTAAAATTAACAATTTTAGATTTTATGCTCTTTCCCCCTAAATTCATCTCTTCTCCCAAATTCGAAATCTTTCCATGTTACATAACAACCTAAAATTAACGAATCATAGCTTAGAGTACTTTCTGCATGTACTTGGTATAAATACCACTCACAAGTTAACTACGTCATCTTCGTTTCCCTAGCTTTTGCTCTGCCAACATCGTGCTGCTTTGCTTTGCTAAAATGCCTACTTTATATCTTTTAAAAAATCAATTTACACAGAAATTATCGTATTTTATTATGATTGGATAAATATCTACCAAGATCATTTAATATGCGGGAAAACAAAGATTGTGATACTTCAAGCTCAGTTGTGTTAACTGCATCATCATAGCTTTTACCTTCATGCCCTTGCATTCAGCTATGTCTACAGCCAGAAGTTAAAGTATCAGATTCCTACTATGCATTAAAATAGTACATATATAAACACAAAAATGTCAATATAAACTAATTTAATAAAGATGAAATGCAAGAAGAAATTTTAAGTCTGAAAAAGGCAACTAGAATTCACTGAATTTTTAAAAAAAATTTTTACTGTAGGAGAATGCAGATTCATGCGGTCCAAATAATGCATATGTTGGGTAACAATCAACATGTTGATTGCATTTATACTACACAATTAAACTTATCTTCTTCAGTGGTTCCACAGCCCATGATGAGCTTTGGCCTTCTTAAGAATTTCATTCCTGGCTGTTCTACTTTTAGTCTTCTAGTTAAAGACTTTTATGTTAGAGAAATCTCTTTTCAGACAGTTAGCCATCTGAATTTGAATCTCCTTCTCTACTGAACTTCTATTGGCTCATATGTGAATATTTTTTTATAGTTCTAATTTCAGGGATTTTAATTAGGTGACCAGCCAATGTTAGTCTCTAGATGCAGATAAAATGATAAATTATCAAACTGACAAAAAATTTAGGTTGCTTGGATATCTGTACATTCTGTAGATTTCTTCACTGGTTTTTTATATATATATATACATATATATAATACAGTCTAATTTACACAGCATTATTTTATAAATGAAAATCTTGCTGCTGTATTTTAAAAAATATACAAATTATTAAGGATGTTTTAAGAATATGATTTTAAAATTAAATAAAATGAAAACTATTTCAGATATGACCAAACTTTTTATATTATTTTGAAGTAAAATTTATGGCATTATGTTCTGAATAAAGCATCATTTAAACGTCTGCTTAGGGCAAATGAACAAATTAAATTAATCCTCTTTAATTTATGATGACTGTATACAGTAACTCAAGTCTAATGCCATGAATGCAGTGTTCAGTATTTATTCTTAGTACTTTAAGGATTTGTGGCTTTTTCACATCAGTCATTGATTTCAAAGAACCACACAGAAAGTAATCTAAAGAAGTTAAATCACAACTTCTGGGACATTCTGTAGCAGTTACATTTTATGAAATTATCCTTTCACTGAACATTTTTGCAATGCATTAATAATCAATAGCAGTGTGATATATGGCAGTGTCTTGTTAAAACTACACATGTTCCAAATTTGGCTACAAAAAATTTATCATGAATTATTATCGCTTGCCAGTCACTGTAACTGCACCTGCCTCCTTGTTTTTTGGGAAAGAAAGCCCATTGATGCTGCTGTGCCATACACCACAACATACAATGACCTTTTCCAAATGTAAGGGCTGCATTTCTTATGGATTGTTTTTGCACCCAAAATTAGTTTTATTTGTTAACATACCAGTCAAGCAGAAATAAATTTCATCTAAGATGATGATATTTTGTCCAAAATCAACGTTCTTGAAGCGTGCATTTGGCCATGATGAATTGTCAGAGCATATAAAACACAAATAAAAATTAGTGACATTGATAACATTTTGTTTTAAAACCAGATCACTCTTATTAGAATATCCTTTATAAAAGAATATAAAAATAGACTAAAGTAATGCATTTTAAATAAACAAAGTCTTGTGACAGCTAATTTGGCTTCATCGGGACACAGCTGACAATGGAGATGGATGATTACAAAATAGATGCTGTTCTATGGCAATTTCTACCTTGACGTTAAAGGCTGAAAGTAGTTGGGGTGATCAGATTTGTCATTTTCACACTTTTGAGAGCGATATCTTACAAACATGAATTATTTGATTTTTTTCTAGTTGTGTAAAGTTGACAGAGCAGGCACACTCTTTTTACTTGCCACCTAAGTACCTGCATTTGTTGTCTTATTTGTGACTTGATGTATACATATCATGATACATACATACATACAATTCTTATATCAGCACTAGGTTTAAATGTATTCCCCATGTCTGTGATGCCTCACTTTTCTTGTAAATCTTAGAACTTACATTATATGATCAGAAACTCAACATTATTTGCTTCTGTGTCAGATCCTCAATCAAGTGAGATAATAGTTTCTCCATGTATGAAAGCAGCCCCAGCTTTCGTTTTGGTACTTCAGCACTGCCACCTCTTTAATGCTTTCAACATGAACTTCAGTATCATATTCACTGTTGAAATAAACTTATTATATTCTGAGCTGTTGCTGGTATAATTTTCTCATCTTCTATCATAAATTATTTTCAACTTTTCTTTTAAAGAAATAGCAGATTTTTGTTTCTTGAGATTTATTATGAGTGTATCAGTTTTTCATTTCAAATCCATTTTAAGGGTAATAAACAATGAATGCTAGTAATGGCAAAGAAATAACTAAACTAATTTGTGCTAATATTATTTGAATGTAAAAGGTACATGTCGTGGAAAGTCGGAATTATTTATGTAGTCCTTATTTGTAAGTCAATGTGAATGTGAATTTGACCAAGTTTTAAAATTAAATTTAGCAAGCTTTTATACACTTGTGTGCAAAAATAAGAGAATTTTCAAATTATGTTGATATTTATAAAAACTATTCAACCAGAGGTATTAATTATGCCGCTGAAGAATTATGCAAATATACAGAGTCGAATACATAAGCATACAACTGCTTACAAGCATACATGCATCTGCAGACCTGTGATTGTAGAGGGGATATAAACATACAAGGATTTTTTTTAAGATTTGTGTGCTTGTTCTCCTTCACAATATTCGCTGTATTTTTCACAAGAGTTCGGTAAACCTTATAAGGTATCAGGTAAAATAAGTAATCACAAACATATGGAATGAGATGTAGAATTGTTGGTAGATTGGAGGCGGGCTAATCACAAGTGCAGGTGGCTGCAGAGCTCAAGGTAACACCAAATGTCGTTTACAGTTTGCAGAAACAGTTTCAGACCACTGAATTCATATAAAAAAGACCTGGATAAGATTAACCAAGATCCACAGTAATGCACTTTTTACAGATGAGTCAAGATTCAGCTTGTACACCGATTCTTGTCATACTTGTATATGGAGAAAGCCTGGAACATGATACCATCAGGGAAAAGAATCATTACAGTGTTGGAGCTGTAATTGTTCAGGCAGGCATTATGTTGGATGGCCATACACCTCTGCATGTGTATGACAAAAGCTTCCTGACTGCTATGAGGTATGGACAGGAAGTCTTAGAGCCTTGTGCTTGATTTTTCATGCACTTAGTCCACAGTTCCTGTTACTGGACAATGATGCTCATCTATATAGGGCTCAGCTGGTCGATGATTACGTGGAAAATGAAGGTATTTGCCGCATGGATTAGTCAGCCAAATCTCCTGACGTTAACCCTATAGAACAGCGGTTCTCAACTTTTTGACTTACACTAAACTAAAATTGAAAAACTTTAGTACCACCACTGCAAAGTACTACTACCACCACCATGCTTGAACAAAGCTCAGATCACATAAATTTACAAGTGCTAGAGTTAAAAACTCAATCAAGATGTTGGGTTTTTAATTTTTGGATTTAATAGTTAAAAATACTTTGCTTCTTTGCGTACCACCAGTGGTAAATGTACCACTGGTTGAGAACCTTTGCGATAGAGGGGATGCTCTTGAGAGTACAATTTCATCTGGCCATCCACTTCCGAGAACCATACTGGAGTTGAAAATTGCCTTGCTGCAAGAGTGGAATTGACTGCCAAAGAGTTTTCTCAACTGCCTCCTGTCGAATCGGCCTTCATGCTACGTGACCTGCCTGGTTATGAGGACCTTGCACCAAATTGACTCATTTCACAGTATCACAAGTTCAATATCACAGTGTGGATTTTGGATATCCCTGCTCTATGAGCTTTACTAATACAGTCAAAAGTCTTTAATCCGTACTTGTTGGGACTTCAGCGATTCCGGATTATAGATCATCAGTTTAAATCTCGTAAGATGGCATGCAGAAATTATAAAATTAAAAATATGAAACCGTAATTTATGAAATAAAGTGCAATTATGATCTAAAGGGTATCAAAATTTACAAAAAAAAAGCTTAATATTTATTTGTTTACTTTATTAAACATTTCTTTCAACGTGCACATGCGTAAAACATACACTACGCATAGTTGAAATTAGAAAATTGCAACCAGAAAACTATTTGATGTGTATTCATGATATTTATAATGACAAAGAATTTGATTTAAATCATATCACAGATGGAATACATCGAGATGAAATACTACATTTAGTAAGGAATTATAAGCCGAATAAAATAAAAACATCTGCCCTGCAGATAAAGATAGTGCTGACAGATCAACTTCCAGTTCATTGCGTGCCGCACGACGTTCTCCCCTCATCCGGCCCCCTAGAGCAGCGATGAAATTGATAAACAGATTTCGGAAATGGTTAGAGAAACAAAGGATATGCCTTTATCCATATTTTGCAGCAATTCCACTTTTTGTTTGGTGGACATTGAAACATACTTTTGCTTTGTAAATCCTATGGTAGCTCCAGAGTCGGAAATTCTTTTTGACATAATCGGAAGTTCAAGCTTACTTTTATAAAATTCCTCTAACAATCTGCAACAAATAATAAGCCGTATCCAATTAGAAGATTAAGGAACAACGCAATCTGCAACATTAACTGAAATAGATAATTAGATAATTTTAGCTTAGCTTATACAGTCTGTTATGCATTAAACGCACATGCGTAAATGCATATGTGCATTTGTAAAGGTATTATGTGCATGCGTAAATGCATATGTGCATTTGTAAAGGTATTATGTGCATGCGTAAATGCATAGTGCATTGTAATAATGCATGCGTTTAGAAATAATGCATAATGCGTGCAGAAAATTTGTAGCTTTGAGGTCCGGATTAAAGACTTTTGCCTGTAATCATGCATACATAAAATGATTTTTGAATGGTACATCGCTTTCTCTTTTATAAATGTATGATTATACTAAATTTTATTAAATTCTGTTCTCCTTTTTTTTATCTTTTTCAGAAATTTAACATTATTATGTGCAAGGTATGAAAATCTTGGTTGAAAATCGTTGAGATTTTAAACATAGAATAGCAGTTTGAAAAAAAAAAGAATAATAAGTCTGGGATGTATAGAACATGAAAAATGTATGAAATTGAAAATATGTTGTGGGCAAAAGTATAAAGTCGGAATTGTAACTATAAAAACTGAATTAGTATAAAAAAGTAATTAAGCGAATTTAGTGCTCTGCAAAGTAATATACCGAGTTACCTTTCGGCAAAGTAGTATATAGACTATATTTTTAGCAAATTTTCAAATGAATTTAGAAAATAAGTTTTTTTGGCATTTTAATTCTGATTTTTCATTTTAGGAAGGTACTGATATTGAAGGAACATTGTTCTTATACAGGAGGTAAGGTTTTTGGATTATACATTTTTCTGCATTTTTATGATTTATAAATGGTTGCGTAGATTTTCAGTGCAATGTTCTTATATTATTAGCCCAAATGCACTTTTAGTCTCAAAATGGGATTTTGCATCGTCTACTATAAACAGCTGTATCATTTTTCATATAGTTGCTACCAAATATTATCATCCTATATTATTTTTAAGGAAATTAAATAATGAAGAATCTATGAGGTATGTAATGTTCCTTGCTCTGTGAAAAAATGTCGGTACCTGGGACCATCAAATTTTGAAATAACATAGTCCTCCACCTGAATATGTACACTTGGAAACCCACATTTTATGTTTCATATTTTTCTAACTTAATTTTTTTTATAAAAAAACTCAACAATTTACTCACAGAACAACTCAACAGAAATCATTTTTATCTCTAGCTCATGAGAGTGTGTGTCTGGAATTCTCACAAAATCAAAATATTTAAGAGCAGCATCTTTAGGCTGTTTTTAAAAACTGTGTGTAATTTTTGCTTTTGAGTAAAATTTTATGTGGCATGTGTACCAAGAACATGATGTTTATTGAATAAATTTAGTACATAAAATGTTAAGAATAAAAAGACAAAAGTATTGCAAGCCATCTTACTAAGAAAACTGAACATTGATATGATGAATTGAGAAAAGACTGAAAAAAAAAATAGAAAAATGTATAGCAACACTTAACACTGCTTCAGGAATTCTAAACATGTGCTGCCCTCAGGGGCTCACTTTTGTGAGTACGGGTGTGGCAATCCCGAGGTACCCTAGCCCTTCAGGGGATCATCTTCTTGATGAGACGGGTGTCATGATCCTGGAGCCCCAGTGATCTGTCCTCTTTTCCGTCTCCTTTCCTCTTGGCTGGAACTTTTTCCCTTCCCTTCTCCCTTGTGGTTTCTCTCTACGGAGTTTGGGGCTCGTCACGAGAGGCTGGAACAGACCTTGTTTCTAGTTTTCGAGTGGCGAGAAAACTGCCCACGTGTTTGCCGTGCGTGGAGACCCGTGTCGCTGGAAAGGAGGGTCCTGGTAGTTGAGGGGCGAGGTACTGTCCCCAACACACTGCTTTGGCCTTTGCTTCAGCTAAACGGGAGGCACCTTAGTCGTCCTCACGGGTGTCAATCGGCTGGTCACTAGTCCTTGTGTCAGTGGCTTGGGGTCAAGCTCTCGGGAGTACCTGCTTTCGGGAAAGCCGACTGTGGGGCTTCAGTTTGCGTATAGGTCCGGCTAGCCCTAACACAGGAATCTGTGTTCCCTTGTTGGGCTCCGTGGTGGGCGGGGCCGTCGGACCCGAATCTTTTCTCTTACAAACATGGCTTCACTTTTCATTCTTAAAAACCTGACTCAAATGATACCAACCAAAATATAGAAATCGTTGAGAAATCCATTAACAAAAAGATCCGGACCGATGAAAATACCAAAGATATTGAAGTTATTGACAAATCCATTACAAAGAAGATCCGTACCGTTGCAAATGCCAAAGAATCTGCTGATTGTCCGCGCTTTGTTGTTGTTTCCAGTGCCTCTGGAGAATTGCAAAAGATGTCTCCTTTCCTGGTCAGCAAATACATTCATTCCTGTGTAGGTGAGCCAAGGAACATAAAGCGTCTCCGTTCTGGAGACTTGCTCATTGATACCCTTTCGGCCACCCGTCCTGCTTCACTTTTATGTCAAACCAAACTTGGCCAAAGTCTCTATAAGAGTGTCAGCACACAAAACACTTAATACCTGTAGAGGCGTGATCTCGGAGATCGACCTTCTGTGTGTTTCAGGAGAAGAGTTCGTCTCCGAGTTAGCTGACCAAAATTTCTGTGGTGCTAGGTGGATCAAGATGCAAAAGGAAGGTCAGTTGATTGACACGAAACACGTGATCCTGACCTTCAAATCGCCTGATCTGCCGAAGAATATAAAGGCTGGGTATCTTAACTGTCCCGTAAGACCATATATTCCCAACCCAATGCGATGCTTCCAATGCCAGCGATTTGGTCACTCTAAGACATCCTGTCGTGGCACCCTTACGTGCGCCAGATGCTCGTTGGTTGGCCACGATAGTGATAAGTGTACCGCTGCGCCATTGTGTGTTAAACTGCAAGGGTGATCACCCAGCATTTTCATTTTCTCGCTCTTGTCCAAAATGGAAATCTAGAAAAGGAAGTTCAGACCATAAAAGTTTCTAGGAACATTTCATATGCCCGAAGCCAGGAGACAAGTTCAAAACACAACAGCCTCAATCAAAGAAATCATACGCAAATGCCGTTAAATCAACACTGCACTATAGCCACACCCAAACTTCCATAACGTACACAGACTCCAACCCAATAAAACCGAGCAACCTGCAAAGCAAGAAAAAGGAAAATACAACACATACAATACAAAATAAAGAAATAACAATCTTGAGCAAACCAAAAACTGTGCCTCCAAAAATAGTATCCAAAAATAGAAGCCAATCTGTAGATGACATGAATTCTGAATCTCTAGATTCAGACGGTATGGAAGTGGAGGAGGGAATGGAAGTTCCCGAGCATCTACTTCCGCACAAAAGTAAAAAGGAACACAGGAAAAACAAACACCAATCATAATGGCCACCCTCGTCTCATGGAACTGTCGCGGTTTCCACTGAAACTTGCTTGACATCAAAGCTGTAGTAAATGCTTATCATCCTGTGTGCTTCGCAATACAAGAGACAAATCTGAAACCAGATCAACATGCAAAACTTCGGAGGTTTTCTCTCGTCAGGAAGGATAACCTTACAGGTGAGCGTGCCAGCGGAGGTGTAGGTCTCCTCACCTCACTGGACTATCCCTCAAATGAACTTCCTTTGACGACATCCCTCCAAGTTGTCGCTATTCAAATAAATTTTGATATTGTTGTTTCATTTGTTTCTTTGTATTTGCCTCCAAATGAGCACATTTATCAGCAAGATTTAAATAATCTAATAGAGCAGCTGCCTGAGCCTTTTATCATAATAGGAGATTTTAACGGCCATAGTCCACCTGGGGAAGTAAAGATACAAATTGCCGAGGAAGACAAATGAGCAGATGATCGAAGATCATAGCCTTGTTCTCCTAAATAATGGGCAAGATACGTCTTCCCTGAGCCTTCAAGGACATTCCACACTCTCGATCTTGCCATCTGTTCACCATCTCTGTTGCCATTTTGCACTTTTAGTGTCGGAAATGACCTGTACAACAGCGATCATTATCTTATTTTTGTGTCTCTTGCACGATGAGGAGCAAACCCCGTGTCGAGAGTCTCTCGTTTTATCCTGGACAGGGCAGACTGGGAACTTTTCTCTTCCGTTGCAGAGCTGACGGAGAAAATGGTAGAAGGTGTGCATATCGATGATGCTGTGGAAGCTGTTACTAATACTATTATTCAGGCAGCTATGCTTTCGATTCCTAGAACATCAGGAAAAACACTAAAATATTCGAAACCGTGGTGGAATCGCGACTGTCATGAAGCACTGAAAAAACAGAAAAAAGCATGGGGTATTTTTCGTAGATATCCTACTCTGCGAAACCTCATAGCCTTTAAAAGAGCCAAAGCAATGCACGAAAAGTAAGAAGGCAGAGCCAGAGGGATTCCTGGATTTCATATGTGTCCTCAATAACATCCCTCACGGCTAGTAAGCGGGTTTGGGAAAGAATTCGAAAAGCATGCGGAATGTATAAAGACCACTCACTTTCCTTTCTGGAAAAAGATGGCCGAGTGATTAGCTCCATAGAAGAAATTGCAAATACAATTGGTGAGACATTTGCTGCCGTTTCTTCCAGCCGAAATTACTCACCTGCATTTCTTTCTATCAAGCAACGCTCTGAGAAAAATCCCATCGCTTTCAACTCTTCCAACTTTGAGCGGTACAATAGAGACTTTACTATGGTTGAATTAAAGAGAGCTTTGTTGCAGACACATAGGTCTTGTCCGGGTCTGGATGGCGTGTATTATGAAATGCTAAAGCATCTGTCCTGTAAGTCACTGAGTGCCCTTCTCACACTTTACAATAGAGTGTGGAAGGAACGTACATTTCCCAGTGCATGGAGGAGAGCTGTTGTCATTCCTATTGCGAAGCCAGGGAAAGACCCGAGGAATCCCTCGAACTATCGGCCAATTGCCCTTACCAGCTGTGTTTGCAAACTGTTTGAAAAGATGGTAAACAGCCGCCTAGTCTACTTCTTGGAAAAGAATAATATTATATCGCCTTATCAAAGTGGTTTTTCGAAGGGGAGAACAACCGTAGGATAACATGCTCCTCTTAGAGACATCCATTCGGAAAAGCCTTTGTAAGAAGAAGTCACCTTGTCTCAATATTATTTGACATTGAGAAAGCTTATGATAAGGCATGGAGATACGGTATACTTCGGGATCTTCACGAGAGTGGCTTGCGCAGCAACCTACCAATTTTCATTTAGAATTTCTTGAAATACTAGAACTTTTCAAGTAAGGATTGGCTCTGTTTCGTCAGGATGTTTTTGAACAGGAAGAGGGTGTGCCTCAAGGCTGTGTGCTTAGTGTAACGCTGTTCATTTTAAAAATAAACTCTGTATTTAAAAGAACTTCCTCCTACCATCTTGGGATCTCTATATGTAGATGATTTACCAGATTAGCTGTCGAGGAGGTAGACATGAGATACATAGAGAGGCAATTGCAGAATGGCTCTGAATAAGATCCAAGAATGGTCAAACAAACAGGGATTTACCTTTTTCGAAAACAGAAAACTGTGTGCGTTGCACTTTTATAGGAAGCGAGGTCTCCATCCTGAACCTGAGTTATGTTTGAATGGTACAATTATTCCAGTTGCGCCTGAAAGTAAAATTTTTTAGGAGTGACGTTCGACCAGAAATTGACTTTCCTTTCTCATGTTTTAAACCTGAGAAAGAATGTCTAAAAACACTAAATATTTTTAAAAGTGTTGGTGAACACCTCCTGGGGTGCAGAGCGTTGCTCCATGCTTCGCATTTACAGAGCGCTTATCCGCTCTAGA